GATTGTTTGATTTTACAGTTTTAAATGCATGATAATAACTAGAATTGGTAAGATGATTTAGTTGCATTTCCTTGATGTATGTATTGCTTGTCTTGTGTGATTTACAGTTAAATTGTGAAATTAAAAATTAAATATAAACAGAAAATTACTCGGTTAAGTGAATTAATGAAACAGTTGTTTTACTCGGTATATTGGGAGATGGTAGATGGACCGGGTATATAGAAAAACCTACCATGAACATTACCTCATACCGGATGGGGTATCGAAGAATGATATTTTGGTGTTCATACTGGACGGGGTATGTGAACAACCCAATTCACCATCATACCGGACGGGGTACTAAGAGATGGTACTTTTGGTGCTCATACTGGACAGGGTATGGGGATGGTCCGATTCACCCTCATACCAGATGGGGTATTAAGAGTGGTACTTTTGGCGCTCATACTGGATGAGGTATGAAGACGACCGGTTAGTTGACAAGTTTTGATACGGGTTCACACATAGTGAGACATCCCTATGGATACCAGTAGACAAATAAAAAGAAAAAGTTGTTATTCTTGCTTACTTGAATATAAGATTATGATTTTGTTGAGCTATTATCTCTATAAGTCGGTTTTGGAAATCTCACAAACAGTAAGTATGCAATAAATGATTTTCCTTATAATAAATGAATTTACTTAAATTAAGAGCTCCATTAGTTGTTTTTATGATTTTTATCAACCTTTTTTTTGTATCGGTGAGTTGTGTGATATTTTTACTAGGCTAGTATAGCTCACCCTTTCATTAACAATTTCAGATCAAGAGGACTAAGATTCAGATTTCGATCAATAAGGGGGTTGTGAATAGTTTACCACTCGGACTCCCTTCAAAGGCTAGTAAAGTTCATCCTAGCATACCTAGTTGTTTACTTTTCATTTATTTCTTGATTTTTCGCTTGTTTTTTTTAGAAGGGTCATTCCCGTAACTCTATTGGGTATTCTAAATTATTGTGTAAGAAATGTAAACCTTAAATCTATTATTTCGCTTCCGCATTCAATTTATAATTTATTTTTTTTAGGTTATGGGTCGTTATAGTTGGTATCAGAGCCGCGTTCCTCAGAACCATTCCTTACATAAAAACTTAAAAATACAAAATACGAATTATTGCTCAACCCTTCCTTGTAAAAAATAAGTGCAAAGACACGAGGAGATGAGATCTCTTACCAAACAGGGTAGCCCGAGACTGGTCACTTCGAGATGATGTTGATCGACTCCTCGAGATTTTAGAGAGACTCATCTCTGTCCAGTAAGCCAGGGAAGAGAAGAGGGAACTGTATGACCCTCCACCACCTCCACAATATAAGCCACCCCTACAACGAGAGCATCTAACGCCACCTCGATGTAACCCTGCTCCTTCGTTATATCATTTGACACTGTCACAATACAATTTATAGCCCCCACTATATCATCCGGCATCGCTACAGGGCAACCCAGTCCCTCCCTAGCAATATCTTGCCCCTCTTCTACGGGACTCGATTTCACCCATGATGGACCTGATAAAGATTGACACAGGGGACCCTAATGTATTTCTAAGAGTAAACTGGTTAGTGACGTATCACACCACCGTGGATTATTTTCATGAGAAAAATTGTATTTAAGCCTCCTAACGAAGAGTTATTTACAAGCTAATAAAGGCTTTGAATATTATTTCCTTATAGCAATTTCCTTGTTACATAGTGATTTAACTCGGTTATTTTTCCTAACTAGGAAAATCTAAGAAAGAAAATTGCATTTTAGAGATCCCCGTAGTATGAGATTTTCCGAATGTGTTTTCTGATGAACTTTTCAGACTACCAGTGGACAGGAAAGTTGAGTTCACTATTAGATCTTCAGCCTGACACACAGCCTATCTTAGTTTCTCCTTACTGCATGAGTCATGTAGAGATGGAAGAGTTGAGAAAATAGATTAAGAAAATTGCAGGAGAGTGGGTTCATCTAACACAGTGTTTCTCCTTGGGGCACTAGAGTCACATTTGCAAAGAAAAGGAAAGTGACGTTAGGATCAGGTATTGACTACAGAGGGTTTAACAGGGTCACGATCTAGAACAAGTACCCCATCCTCAGGATCGATAACCTTTTTGATTAGTTGCAGAGTGTCAATGTCTTCTCTAAAATAGACCTACGTTTAGGTTACCATCAGATGAATATCAAAGTAGAAGACATTCCCAAAACAGCTTTTCGAACCAGGTACAGACACTATGAGTTCATGATCATTCCATTTGGACTAATAACGCATCGTTATCTTCATGGATTCGATGAATAGGATTTTCAAATAATTCCTGCATTAGTTTGTCATTGTATTTATCGATGATATCCTGATCTATTCAAAAAATAGAGAGGAACATGCTCACCATCTGACTCAGGTTTTGCAGGTTCTCAGAAAAAATAAGTGTATGCAAAATTAAGTAAGTGTGAGTTCTGACTCGAGCAGACTACCTTCATAGGGCACATCATATTAGGGGATGGAGTGTCAATGAACTCCAAAAAAGTTGAGGCAGTGCTCGGTTAGAAAAAATTGACATCTCCTTATTATCTCGTTTTGGCAATGTTTTTTTATCTCAATGATGCTATGTTGGTTCCTAAAGTCAAAGTCAGTCTCTCAAAATCTTTTTTCAGTTGGACAACTTTGAGATTTGTAGCTTTCTAGGAATGATAGGTTATTACTATAGGTTTATAGAAGAATTTTCTAGTCTGACTACTCATTTGACCCGACAAAGAAAAATGTCAAGTTTGAATGGAACGAGAACTGTGAAAAGAGCTTTTTAGAACTAAAGAAGCAGTTGGCTACTACACCTGTGTTGGCATTGTTGAGTGGGATGGTTGGATACACAATTTACAGTGACGTCTCCTACCTGGTGTTGGGTTGTGTTCTGATGCAGCATGGGAAGATCCTAACCTATGGGTCCAGACAGTTGAAGTGTTATGAGAAAAACTACCATATCCATAACTTAAAACTTGCCGCGATTATCCACGTCTTGAAGACTTGTCGCTATTATTTGTATAGGGAGACTTTACCATATATTAAAAATACAAGAATCAACATGCACGTCACATTTTTATCTTTTCCCAATGACCTTTTTATAAAATTTTCTTATATTTTTCACCTTTTACTTTTACTCAAAAAAGAATTAACTACAAGTAAAAAATAAAGAATATGCATATTCTATTATAAAGTGGAAAAAATGGAACTTGTATGTAGAGGATTTTAATTTTCGGTTCTAAAAAAGTTTTAAGAAAAAGATTTAATTAATGAATTTGATAACTTAATAATATAATGATATTAGAGTAGTTATTAGTTCTATAAACTTTTTATTATATTATAATATTTTATTATAAGTGCGATTAATTTATATTTTATAAAATAATTATAAAAATAAAATATTTTAAAGTGCACATTTCCCAATTTCTTCTCATAATATTAACCATTTAGATTTTTTTAATAAAAAATATGGCTTCATCTCTTTCAACAGAGAAGTTTCCTCCTTTATATTGCTAGGACTTTTCCTTTCCATGCTGTCATATTCACTCCCTTAGCTAGCCACGAGTCACTGAGACAAGGCCAAAACAATTCATGGAATCAAGGTACCTCCTGCGCTTACTCCTCTTCGCCGGCGTATGCCTTCTCTTCCTTCTCACGTGGTTTCACATTCCCTACGCTCCGTCGTCTGCCACCGAATACCTCGACTGTAACACCTACTCTCCTTGGTGCACCTCCCAAGAACCGACTCTTTTCCAAGCAAACCAACAAAACTTCTCTCGTCAACAATCCCATTAATCCCACGCGCCGCCGGGACCACGCTTCCGAAACTCCACATCATCCACTAGACCCACTCACCGTCCAGGAGATTAACAAGGTCCGCCGCCTCTTGTCCTCTCACGCGCTCTTCAACTCTGCCAAGTCCCACGCGTTCCACTCCATAGTACTGGAGGAACCCGAGAAGGATCTGGTCCTCAAATGGCGAAAAGGGGATCCACTCCTTCCCAGAAAGGCCTCCGTCATCGCACGTGTGGACGGCGTCTCGCACGTGCTGACGGTTGACCTGAGTACTGGAGAAGTCGTGTCGCAGGACTCTGTTCCTCACTCCGGTTACCCCAGCATGACCATAGAGGATATGAATTCAGCGACGTGGGCCCCGCTGGCTAGTGCGGAGTTCAACCGTACGGTAGTTTCCCGCGGGGTGGATCTAGCGGATCTTGCATGCCTGCCAATCTCGCTGGGCTGGTTCGGCGTGAAGGAAGAAAACCGTCGGTTGATTAAGGTGCAGTGCTACTCCATGAAGGACACTGCAAATTTTTACATGAGACCAATCGAAGGCTTGACTGTGCTCGTTGACTTAGACACCAAAGAAGTTCTGGACATATCAGATACGGGCAAGGGTATACCCATACCCAAGGCCGTCAATACGGACTACCGTTACGACACCGTCGGGGAGCACAATCGAGATATGAACCTTCTCAACCCGATATCCATCGAGCAACCGAAAGGTCCGAGTTTCGTCATAGAAGACGGACATACAGTCAAATGGGCGACCTGGGAATTTCACCTGAAACCCGACGCAAGAGCTGGTATTGTAATATCTCGGGCCAAGGTTCGGGACCCGGACAGCGGGAAGATGAGGGATGTCATGTACAAGGGGTTTACATCCGAATTATTTGTTCCTTATATGGACCCGACGGACGCCTGGTACTTCAAGACGTACATGGATGCAGGGGAATACGGATTCGGGTTGCAAGCTATGCCGCTTGACCCGCTTAACGACTGTCCGAGAAACGCCCAATACATGGACGGTGTTTTCGTGGCCGCCGACGGGACTCCCTACGTCCGTTCCAACATGGTTTGCGTGTTTGAGCGTTACGCCGGGGATATTGGATGGCGGCACACGGAGAGTCCGATCACGGGTTTGCCGGTGGGTATCAGTTCACATAGCTGATGTAATTAATAATTTAATATGTAAGTTTTCCCTTCAAATAAAAATTTTGCAAGGATAACATCAATCTTCTTGTTTGTTATTTGATTTTTTTTTTTGGCAGATAAGGGAAGTGAGGCCAAAGGTGACACTGGTTGTAAGGATGGCAGCATCAGTTGCAAATTATGATTATATTGTTGATTGGGAATTCCAAACTGATGGACTAATTAGGGTTAAGGTTGGTGGAACTCATTAACTACTTTTCGTTATGCTGATTACTATAGATACTGAATAGTATTATAAACACCATATCTATTTTTTTAATGTGATTTAGTTAATCACGTCTTTCCATGTAGTGTTTATATATGGTAATTATACATATATTAATTAATATTTAATTATTTATAAAAGTATATGTTGAAGTGCATGGCTGGCTTGAAGGGTATTGTTTATATGCGTAGACATTGGCAGATTCAGTAAGATATTTATAAAAGCTTTTGTGTGTAACAATGAAACACAGGTGGGACTTAGTGGTATTTTAATGGTGAAAGGGACTCGCTATGAGAAGATGAGCCAAGTGTTTGGGGGCCAAGAAAATGATCTCTACGGCACGTTATTATCTGAAAATGTAGTGGGAGTGATCCATGATCATTACATCACATTCTACCTTGACATGGACATCGACGGCTCAGATAATTCCTTTCTCAAAGTTAATATCCGACGGCAAGAAACCTCACCAGGGGAATCACCCAGAAGAAGTTACCTCAAGGCCGTAAAAAATCTGGCCAAGACAGAGAAAGAAGCACAGATAAAACTGAAACTCTACGACCCGGCAGAGTTCCATATGATCAACCCAGGTAAAACCACTAGAGTCGGCAACCCGGTCGGGTACAAGGTTGTTCCTGCAGGTACTGCTGCTGGCTTGCTTGATCTTGATGACCCACCACAGAAAAGAGGTGCTTTTACAAATAACCAAATATGGGTCACTCCATATAATCGGAGCGAGCAATGGGCAGGTGGGTTGTTTGTTTATCAGAGCAAAGGTGATGATACTCTGGCAGTGTGGTCCGATAGGGACAGAGAGATAGAGAATAGAGATATTGTGTTGTGGTACACGCTGGGATTTCATCATATACCATGCCAGGAAGATTTTCCGATCATGCCAACGGTGACATCAAGCTTCGATTTAAAGCCTGTTAATTTCTTTGAGAGCAATCCCATTCTTCGGATACCACCGAACTTTGAGAAAGATCTACCTGTTTGCAGGCCTGCTGGTTCATCTTGATCAAATCTCTTGTAAAAATCTGCTTACACGTGAAGCACCGGTCGTATTATTATATATAATAATATACTGCATATCTAAGTTTCTCTTCTCCTTTCACCGTAAGCTGGGGTGGGTTAATTAATTACCATTCACGTGTCATGCTCAAAAAATTGAATTAAGAATTCCCAGTTGGATTTCTTAACAATTGGTTCTGAGTTCTGATGTATATTAATATTTCACCACAAATTACGAGCTACCTACCAACATATATATGTAAATTATAGTGGCAACGTGCAAATTTTCCATCAGAGTACTCTGTTCTCTGCTCTCTGCTTCACAAAATGGCTGGAGAGCTGCGAATCTTGGCTTCTTTTTTACTAGCTTGGCGTCCCTTCGCTTGTCTAACCTGACATCTAATGATGTCATTTTTGTTTACCTTTCAAAATTAAAAGGAAAAACAAAAGAATTGGCAAGTCACCAAGAACAGGACGTTGAATAAATTTTAAATTTATCATATAGATTCGATGTGTAAAAATATCTCACTTTTAATGAAAAACTACATAATATGCAATAACAATATTTTTTTAAAATAATTACAATTTTTTTTTTTTTAGGATATACACTTTATATGTAGATCATTTTAAGAGACAGAAGGAAGAGTTACTAAGATAGTTTTTTTATTTAATATGTAAAAGATAATTATAATTTAATATTTAATGTATACTTGAACTAATTTTCTTTCTATATTCAATCTTATCATTGTTGATGTTACATTACTACTATCAAGAAAGTAATGCCAAATTTTTTTTATGTTAAATTAAATAATATTAACTTTGAATATAGTGTTATTTCATTCAAATTTATTTGTATTCTATAAAATTTGAAATTTAGCTAAATTAAATGTAAACAAATTATTGACAAGGTTATGTAACATAAATATTAAATCACTTTTAAGTTACATGAGTCATCTAAAATAATTATTTAATTTTTAAAATATGTAAATGCTTATGTTAATTACATATCTAAAATAATTATTTAAAAGTCAACTCTCTCATATTGTGTGTAATATTTCGTAATAGATGAGTTTTATATTATTCTATTGAATCATTAGACTAATATTTAGTTTTTTACACCCATCTCAACCAGTGATATATTTTCTAAGTAGTAATTGAACTGTAAACTATATATAATTCTCTTCTATAACTTTCAATTTAGTTACCATGACTTTTCTTCAAAGCTGATATCAGTTTGATATCTTCATGATAAAATCATGACTAAGTATAATAAAAGACAACTATCACAAAAGTTTTAAAAGAAAGAAATAACCCTTCATAAGATAGATATTTAGCTAACAAATGCACCATTATTGAGGATGAAGTAGTATGTAAAGAATCATTGTAGGGAAAGTATATGAGATATGATGGAGGTTTAGTTGCTCTTGATAACCTTCGAGGAACAATATTATGATTTAAAGGTTGAAATTGTCATTGTCAAGGACAACCATCATAACTAAAAATAGCTTTTGAGAATTAAATTTTGGGACAATTGAAGATAATGGTAAAATAAGGTATGGAAATAAATTTAGGACTTCAACTTCTAGATTGATATAATGAAAAAAAATAATAATATTTATGAAATACAACATTATAAGAAAGAATATATATTTGTTGTGCAAATTAAACAACTTATATCTCTTGACTCTAGTTAAATAACCAAAAAGCACATGTTTTGTAACGACCCCGGAAATTTTAAAATGAAATATGTATATTAAAAAGGTCAAATGCGGAAGCCAAGTCAAAATCTCGATTAACATCCCTTACACTGAAACCCAAAAACGTGCTCAAAATATAAAATATTAAACTAACTAAAAGAGAAACTCGAAAGTAAAAGCTATGAATATGACTATGGAGTCTTTAGGCGTCCCCTTCGTCATCTTCCTGCGGAACGGGCTCGGGAACAATGTCTTCCTGATCTGAAATGATTAAATAAGGAATGAGCTACACTAGCCCAGTAAAGACATCACGATATCTCACCGTCACGGAGGTAAAGGTGGGTAGAAAACACAAAAAGACCAATGGAGCATAATTTACAACAAATCTTTTTATCAATAATAAAACCTTTACCATCCACTTATCTCGGTGAAATTCATAAAACAATATACGAAAGCAATAACATTATCATCATCATGAAATCATATAAACTGTATAACATAATATTTATCACGCCTTTTGTAATTCAATCATTACACAACATATTTTTCCTTTTTTACCAGCCTACTAGTATCTGTGGGGATCCATAGGGGTCCCGCTACCCGTGAACCTTTAACATTTACAACCTGATTCCAGGGCCGTCCCCATACCCCGTCCGGTATGGGCGCCAAAACTATAAACCTCAATACCATGTCCGGTATGAGGGTGAAACGGGCCGTCCCCATACCCCGTTCGGTATGGGCGCCAAAACACATAAGGTCTCCATACCCTGTCCAGTATGAGAGACCACAATCCCGGTAGGATTCCCTACGGACCCGGTCCGTCCACCATCTCTCAAGATATCTAGTCAGGCTGATCACATTATACAATTATCAATTTATATAACCTTTCATTCCCCTTTTCCTCAGTCAGCATCATTAATTCACACACAAACAAGCAAAACAGTAATTTATGTCAAACAAGACAACATACAGCATCGGTTACTCAGTCATTCAACCCATAATCAATAAAACAGTAAAATATGCACATGAAACTATGAAATGAAAATATCAGACCTCATACTGCATTTAAAACTGTAAAAATAGGCCAAATAACAGTTAACCGACAAACACACTAGACTCGGGCTCCATTAGCGACCTTAAGCAATTTCACATATTCGTTGATTCAAGAAATACCGTTTTATCATTATTGAACTTTAATACCGTGATAGGAAATAGGGTGAGGGGTTCTTACTCGTTTCGGGGTCCGAACACGGCTTCACAGTGCGCCTACAGGTTGTCCCTAATTTTTTCTGAAATTTTCCCGGGGAACTGAAACCCACTACTGGTACTTGCACGTGTTCTAAAAAATCCCAAATTAGACCCAGGGCCCCTTCTGGCCAATATCGCAATTCCGGCACGGCGACTCCGCCGTGCTCCGGCGACGGCGCCACCGCTTGCGGCGGCGATTCGCCTCGGATTTGCCGTTTTCGATCGTTTCCAGCCGAATTCGGCCACACTTACATCGGTCCCTGTGATAAAACAAGCCTAGGGCCCTCGGGGGGCCAAAATATTGCGAAAAATCGAAGCTTACCGGCGGCGATGCTCTCGAGTGCGGCGGCTCTCCGGCGAGGTTCGTGTTTTGGTGTTTCGGCTCCGATCAACCTGTAGAAAAAAGAATGGTGATCACGGTGATATAAAAATTGCATCAAATGGAGGCCGGGAAGGGCCTCATCGGAGGTAAAAACCGAGGAGGGGCGCGACGGCGCTGCTGGGTTTCGGTAGTATTTTCCGGCCGTTTGGCCGGGATTTTGGCTCCGATTTGGCCACAGGGGAACTCAGCGTAAAAAAACGAGTCGGGGGTATGAAATTTACCTCGATCGGCGGTCGAAAATCTCCCCGGTGCGGCGGCGGGTGGCGGCGGCCGGCTCCTCCGGCATCTGGTTTGTCTTCTCCAGCGAGGGCAGGCGGCTAGGGTTTTTGTGGTCAGGTGTGGGGGTTCTATTTATACCCTTTTGCCTTTTAATCAAACCCGTCCATTTTAATTAAATCTGGACCGTCCGTTTTTGATTGAATCTAGGCCGTCCGTGCGCGTGCATCTGGGCCGTCCGTGCGATTGCATCTGGGTCGTCCGTGCGCACGCTTGATCTGAGCCGTCCGTGCGCGCGAGGACGCATCTGGGCCGTCCGTGCGCGCGATGACGCATTTGGGCCGTCCGATCGCGCGTACACGGATCGCCAACATGGCCCGTCCCCGGGTCGACGTGGTCTTGCCACGCGGCAGGTCCTGGTTGGCCAGGGCTGCTGACTGGGCCGCTGACGTGGCTGCTGACGTGGCGCTCTCTTTTTTTTTTTAAATTAAACTTAATAAATAAAATTAATAATAAAATCACAAAAATGGCCAATTGTTTGGGCGTTACATGTTTACATTCAAGATCAAATTTGGATCTATAAGTAATTAAAATAGAAGTAAAAACAAGACATCCAAGTAGTTGGATAAATAAATGATTGAAAATTTTTTTATAAATTAATTCATAAGAAGACTTATTGTGAAGTAAATGAGAAGACATTATTAATTAAGAATATTGTAAAAGTCATACACTCATTTGAAAACTATAGAGGTATTTTGGATAGAAAATACAAGGCTATAATGACATTTAACAGATATTAATGTTCATTTTCTAATAGAGAATTTTGTTACAAAGTTTCCGAAATACAAAAACATTGATGCAAGACTTCATTCTCATTAAGAAATCGATGAGCAATAATTTAGGTGCAGCTTCATCTCAATGCGTTAATATGACACTAAAACTGTCTTGTAAACCATTTTGAAGAAAGATAGAATTCCAATAATATCGTTAGATATATTCTTAAGAAAATATATACAAATAAAATATATGCAATTATCGACAATTGTAAAAAAAATATTTATATCTATTATATGATGATACATAAAATAGTTTCCATATGTTGTCACAGTATACAAGATTAAATGGATCCTGAGACATGTATTGCAAAACTTAAAGATAAAAGCTTTTGTTTGGCTTGAGGATAAATATGACAAATATCTTTATCTATACACCTATAATTAAAGACTAGTAATTTGGGTTTCAACAATTCAAGTTTATAAAAAGATAGATGTCTTAACCTTTTGTACCATATTTGAAAAATTGCTTCATTGAGAAAGATATGATCTATTGCTACTAATGGATGTCTTTTACGGTATAAAACATAGAGGTCATTTTACTAATTAGAGCACTGTGTTATTAGTTTTTGTCAATGGTAGTATTGTATTTTTCTCTAATGTTCTTAAAAAGAAAGGTATCATTATTATTGGTAGAATGATTTTTTTTTTTTATAAAAAAAAAAATTCTTTATTCACTATTTTGGGATTGTGAATGGATAGTTTGTTGTACTTTAGAGTATAGTAAAGATATCTTTTTGACAATAATGTTATAAAATAGAGAAAAACAGTAGGTCAAAAATCATTCAATGAATTTAAAACTCTTGAAATATTTTAAAACTTTATTCGATAAATTTTAATATTTGCTTATCAATAATAAAAAAAAGTATTTATTCTTTCAACATGATAAAGATTTTATTGGATGGATTAATATTTGAGACTTAAATTTTTTCCTTTATTTTTCCTTTGTAGGCTTGTATAGCTACCATTGTTAGAGAGAGATTTAGTTATTAACACTAAACTCAAGTTTAATTGGAAAGACCACATAAATTTATGACGTTATATGTAATAATCATGTGACAGTTATTTGTGATAACTATGTGGCTGTATCAACAATCACATAAAATAAATATAAACGACAATTAAATTTATTGCTTAAGATATATCAATTTGAATTGAAATGAATTAATTCATTACAAAATGAAGATATTCGAATAAACAGTGTGAAATATATAAATAATTTAAAATAAATATACCGATTTAGTTCCCGATGTCAATGTGAAAAGGAAGCTTGGTACTTCACCGTCTTTCCCCAAGTCACTCTTGCAGCCAAGCCATGACCCACGGCGGAGGAAGAGGCACCAAAGCCATCACTTCCAAGCGCAAAGCCACCACATCCGAAGATAAAACCCTACAGCTAACCAAACAACTTGCCAACAACCTCAGCTCTGCCATCGACGCTGCTTACTCTTTTCTCCTCGAAAATGACCTTCGCCTCCTCCCCTCCCAAATTCTCTCTCTCGAATCTCTCATCCCCTCCCTTCATCTCTCCCTCTCCTCTTTTCTCTCAGCTTCCTCTCTCCCTCCAATATCCTCCTCTCCATCTTCATCATCTCCTTCTTACACTTGTTGGTTCCAGCGTTTCATCGTCTCCGCCAATTCTGATCTTGACCCCCGCTGGGTTCACTGTTTCCGAATGTCCAGGCCCTCTTTTACCCTCCTTCTCTCCGCCATCATCCCCTTTTTGTATTCCTCTCTCCCCGCCATTTCCCCCAATACAGCCCTTGCCGCCTTCCTCTTCCGCCTCGCCCACGGCGCCTCCTTCAAGGCCGTCGCTCGTCATTTCGGTTTTGAGTCATCCGCTGAAGCATGTCGCGTTTTCTACACTGTTTGTAAGCTGATAATTGATAAATTGGGATATTTGTTTGGGTTGCGTTCCGATATTGGCCGCATTGTGGTGGGTTCTGGGTGGAGTTCGTTGCCCAATTGCTGTGGGTTCCTAGGGTTGGAGAGATTTCCGGTTGATGGTAAATTGTTGGGAGAAAATGGGTCAATACTGGTTCAGGCATTAGTGGATTCTGAGGGTAAGTTCGTCGATGTCTCGGCTGGCTGGCCTGGCAACATGAAAGCCGAAACCATTTTGCATCAGACCAAGTTGTTTTCGGCTGCTGAGGAATCCAGGGAGATGTTGAATGGTCCCTCTTATCGGACCAGCGATGGCAACTTGATTCCTCAATACATTTTGGGAGATTCTTGTTTCCCTTTGCTGCCGTGGCTTTTAACGCCTTATGTACGATCCAATGAGGAGGAGGATAGTTTTGGCACTGCGCAGAGGGAGTTTAATGCAGCACATGATCGGGCAAAGGGACTGGTTGATACTGCTTTTGCTAGAGTTCGAGCCCGGTGGCAGCTTGTGGCAGAAAGTTGGAAGGAGCGTATTGAGATTCTTCCATTCATGATAGTATCTTCTTGTTTGATGCACAATTTTCTGATCAAATGTGGTGAACCGATCCCGGATGATGTTGCTGTGTGCTCCAAAAAGGAGGAGTTTTCTGCTTCTGAGGGAAACTTGAACGAGAGTGGGCAGAGGGTCAGGGATGCACTTGCAAAGCACTTGACTCGAGTGAGTTTAAGAAGGTGAATGGTATAGTAATCTTAGCAGCTTGTAGTTTCTCTGCTGCATTTTGGTGAACCATTCTATATAGTTTAGACCTTTTGTCTTGAAATGTTACATAGTTCTTGTGTTATTTTTATCTGGGAAAATTGAAATATAGAGTAGAACTTTGCTTGCTCAATCTTGTGCTGGCAGCTTTGCCTAAATGTTCTTGATAGTCAACTTGCTTAATAGTTGCTTATTAGGAGGGCTCAGGTTCTACTCTGTTTTGGTTTTTGTTTGGTCAATTCTCTGGCTTCAACATTAACTAATGGTGATTCTTGGAGGGTCATTGGATCTCGTGTCTTGATGGAGCTATGGCTATGGGCTGCTCTTTGAGCAGGTTAAATAAAATTTTCAGAGTAAAAATTTACTCATGGTCAAATTAAGTAGGAAGAATCGCTAAACTGTTACACCTCTTTGTTCTCCTCTTATATAGAATCATCCCTTCCATCATCATGGTGATAGTGATCAAATTTGTTGCCAGTCACTTGAAATCTCCGTCTATAAAGAAAAGAAATTTCTATCTTGCATCCATAACAATATGATTGTCCCACAGAATTGACTCCTGCCTGAACCATTTGGTTGCAAAGACCAAATTAGGAATATATCTTTATCTAAACTAATGCCAGCATACTTTTCTTGGTATCACAACAGTGTTTTGTCTAGTATATAACAGCGGAAATGCTGTTAGAATATCCAAATCTGTCAAGCAAAACATTTTTTTTTGCTACTGTGCACGACACCCAGGCAGACTGTTAAGCAAAACATGTTCCATTAGATACTTGGAGTTGGCAATTAACTTGACCTAAAATGGTGGGGTTTACAACCCTGACCTTCTCGTATAAAGATGAGCTCGAAATGGAGAATGAAAATGCAGAGTTTAACTTACAGTATTAGAGATATAGGTTGTTTTATGAGACCCATGAAAGGAGATACGTGTCCTACAATGTTGTTGATTTCTTTCTTTCGGAATTCACAACTCAATTAACAAGGATATTACTGCTGATATAGCGGATCCACGGATAATCTTGGGGTGGGTATGAGGGCGAGAGGAGTCTTCAACTTCATAACAATCCCGAATTTCTCTGTAAGGTCTGCTGACTGCTGTTCGTCGGGTAATTTCCAGTCAAATGAATGTAAGAGAGTGGCAAGTGAATATAACACCATCCTCTCCGCCATTGCTATGCCTGCACATATTCTTCGGCCAGACCCAAAGGGGAAATAATTAAAATCTTTTCCACTAAAGTCCCATTTTTCATTCAAAAACCTCTCAGGTTTGAATTCCAATGGATTTTCCCATATTGAAGGGTCTCTCTGTATTGCCCAGACGTTTACGAAAACCCTGGAGCCTGTTGGAATGGTATAGCCTCCAACAGTGCAGGTTTGGCTGGGGCTATGAGGGACTAGCAATGGCAGAGTTGGGTGCAACCTCAATGTCTCCTTCATTATGGCCAATAGATATGGTAGGTTGTGAATGTGAGACTCTTCCACGGTGTTTTCTCTTCCAACAACCGTGTCTAGTTCTTGCTGCGCTTTTCTGAGGATTTCTGGTTTGTTGATTATTTCTGCCATTGCAAACTCGACTGTGTTGGAGGATGTTTCTGTCCCACCGACTATCATATCCTGTTGGATTTTCACAAGTTATATTCAGTTTAATCTCTTTCTTGGGGTTAAATTTAAAAATGTTTTGACATGAAATTATAATCTTCAGATATCATCTTTTTTCATATATATATATATATATATATTGTAATTTTGTTTTATTTACTTCAATGTGTTCATGTTTTAAGATGTAGACATATGTAAAGAATTTGTATCGCAGTAAAATCCATGCGAGTGCAAGTCGCTAGAAGCAAAAATCATCCGTGTTAATTTTAATTATTTTAATAATTAATAATAAAAAAAAATTATAATGATGATAAGAAGCTTTATAAATAGTTTTAAATTTTAAATATTAAAATTAAGGCATATTATTTAATTACTGTTTAGTTATCTTTTTTTTAAAAAAATAAAATTTTTATTTTTATTTAATTATATATATTATTCTTTTTAAATTTTTAGTTGACTGCATTTTATAAACTTTTGATCATTTATTCATTTTTATTTTTTAATTTGTATCTAGTTAAAATTATATTCTTTCCCAAATACACGTTTAAAGTAATCCGTCAATCTTTTTGACTCGTATATAGACATTCATATTTAATCAATTTGGTTTATGCTAGAGAAAGACTTACCATGAGCAAAGCCTTAATATGGGTGGTCGAAAGTGGAGGCTTCGCATCCCCATCATCTTTCAATCGCAGAAGAAATTGCAGGAAGTCCTTATCGTCTGCTTTACTTCCACCCTCTCTCTCAATCCTCAGCCGTTGATTTATAAGCATCTCAAATATCCCATCAAACTGTTTCGCACAACCATACATCCGCTTCTCCAGTCCCTGCAAATCGAACCGACCCAAACCCGAGAAAAAGTCCGAAACATTAGGCTGCCCCAACAAACCCGTCATCTCCGACACCACCTCCCGAAACTCTCCGCTCACCTCTTCCCTCTCCTTTCCTTCCACCGTCCCACCCCATAGCATGCTTGTAATCACGTTCCACACCGTCAAGAACATCTGCTCCCCAATGTTAATTTCTGACCCCGCCCGACTGTAAATATACCTCGTGGTTTCTCGGACCTCACGGCGACGGAGTGTGTAAACGGAGTCCAAGGTGGTGTTGCTCAGCATCTTGATGACGCACACCTTTCTCAGCATTCTCCATTCAGCCCCGTATGGAGTCCACACTATGTCCGACCCACCGTAGGTTGCGGCCCGACCAGTTGCGGGAACATCTCGGTTGGCAAAAGTGATGTCGTGATCTTTAAGAACTTCACGGGCCAAGTCCGGAGAGGTGATAACGATGCCAACTTTGAGGCCCAGACGAAGCTTGAAAATCGGACCGTAAGTACGAGCCATGTCAGCGAAGTAGGTGTGCAGGTCCGGATCTAGAAAGGGTATGCTCCCTAGCAAAGGGATCCCTCGTGGTCCTGGCGGCGACGGTGAAGTACGTGCCGTCTTGGATTTGACAAACATCCATGAACACCAAAACAGTATAAAGGCAGGAGAAAACCATATGAAGGAGTTCCCAAGAGTTTGAAGGAAATTAGTTGAGATAGGTGTCATGGCGGCCGTCTCAGGAGGAACTTCAAGAAATGAGAAAGGAGCTCGGTAAGGTCGTCAACTTAAAAGAAGCGACCAGAACAAGTATGGTGGCTTGTGGACAAAATAGAATTTCTTAGACGAGGAAGAGCATCTTTCTTGTTCAATGTAACATGCATCGCAAGCGGCAAAATATTTTAGTAGATTTAACTACCGTGATTAATAGATATATATTTCACATGTTATTTTGTAATAATTTTTTGCTAAAAATTCAAAATATGTCAGTGATATTTATGACATCTGCGAACTTAATTTTATAATTTACTGTGAATTAAGAACCATAGAAGAATAAAATTCAAGCGATGGGTAATAAGAATAATGACTCCCACTAAAATATCCCTTCGAAAAAATCTCTAATAAATTTCTTTGATATTTCTGGTTATTTAATTTCTTTTGACATGCAATGTTGTCATGACCAATGCAATAGATGAATGGTTTAAGGTGTATATGAGTGGATGGAAAACAATGGGGGAAGATATGGTTCATAAATAATGTATATTTTCTTAGTGGGTAGAAAAGAACAAGAGAAAAAAAATATATGATATTTTCTCTTCCCTTCCTTTGCTTTTTCTTTTTCACACTCTCTCCCTCTCGAGTAGTATGAGGATTTTTTTGTCTTTGAGTAAAAGTCTTAGGACGTGTGTAAAAATGTTGATAGGAACGAGAGAATGTGAAGTGAAAGTGAAAGATTCTCTCTCTCTCTCTCTCTCCCCCCAAACAGCTAGCTTTCTATTTCCCGGAGCATAGAAAAATCTCTCACAGTTGCAGATTTTGATCATTTTAACTTTCCCCTACTTTCTGATTTGCTGGTTGCATGAGTTAATAGGTAATATGGCAAGTGTTCAGCCTCCATATTAATCAATTAGAAAAGTACGTCCTCAATTTTCTCTCCATGCATGGAGTTGGGAAGTAGATTTCAAATTTGATCCGCACCGCAATACCTGAAAAAAACAAATTCCTAATTTTTACTCTACGAAGCTCTGAACTGAACAAACACTGGAGACGACTAAAAAATTCTAATAGGTGGCAACGACAGTGTCTTATAGCGTCCGAGAATAGAATACCATTATTTGGCCTAACTATGAGGCTTCTAGACCACGTACCTTCTGACAATGACATTAGATTGATCAAATATTAATCAATTAGAAAAAGGGATCTTTTTTAACTATACATGATCACCAACCACTACTCATATTAACTTAAACTAATTCATAATTTTAAGGACTACCTCTGCATTCAAGAGGCAAATTGTCTAACCATGAATCATCCCATAAAGGGGTTGAAGGTTCCAACTCAGTGGGCCACACTGAACTAACGTCTATTTCATCAAAAAATATGGGTTTACATTTTCTGTCCCTACTTTTACAAATTGCCTGTAGCCAAAGGTTGCAGTGCACAAAAACGAAATCATTAAGCCTCTCCAGTTCCGCTTTGTTACGTTTCTTGCTGTGAATGCTCTCAAATATGCTCCAATTCCATTTGCACCAGTGAGAACTACAAGGCTGGCTCAATATCCTTATTGCAACTCTTTGCAGGGTCGGGATTTCATACCCATAGCTTGTCCACCAATCACCTACAACAATGGATTGTGTCAAATTAGATACAACTCCAGGGTGCTTATTGAGCATTTAATACAAAGATTATCAACTAGCCGTGGCCATCCACATTGACACTTTTCCCCAGGACAAGGCAAAGGAGGGAAGTTTTGCTGGGGTACAAGACAAAAGTATATTGTACAAAACTGTTTGACATGTTAGTTTAGCTATTATGCTGCCTCAAGAAATAACATCAAATGAACCCTGAAGTAAAGCATTGTCAAGCTATCCTATTTTAGAAAAAAAAAAAAAAAAAGAAAATGGTAAGACACCAGTCATTCAAGTGTGTGAATAAAAACACAAGTATGGATCCTTAACACCTAAGACCTATATAGCAAACAGTACGAGAAATTATCTTTTCTTCACGTACCTGGGGTGTTCAGTGTCCTTCCCATGATTGCAAAGTCAGTTCCAAGAGCTCCTTGGGCATTTATGTATATTGGATGTTCCTTGGTGATTTCTATTTTATCATTATCTGTTGTAGCCAACTTTATCATAGCTTCTTGAAATCCATTCCTCATTTTTAAATCAACCTTGAAGTTCTGGTTGTAAAAAATTGAAGGATTAAGGAATGCTGCTGCATCATGCAATGATGAGTGAAGTTGCGTATTCCATCTCCGGTTGATTATATCCCAGATTGGCATATATTTTTCTTCAATGCCTTTATAATATGCCTTGACTGAGAGCTTTACTCTCTCTATTCCCTCATACATGTAACCTATAGCAGGCATGTCTCCATCAACAACCCTCAGCATTTTAATCAGGGGTTCAGAAACACTAACTGCTTCATGTGCTGATTTCCAAAATCTTTCCAAATGTAACAAGGACTTAATAGCTTGAGCATCAGGTCGTCTGCTATATATGGATGATAGCCATTCTGAATGGGAAAACATGTGCTTCAAATTGTCTTCTTGAATCACAATGGTCCTTAAGGCGAGAAAATTGGTCACAGATCTCGTAATTTTGGGCCTTATTAATTCCTTTCCACCGGTAAATTTTCTCATCATATTTAAAGTCCATGCATGACTATATATGTACCTTGCAATGGTCTTTGCTTCCTCAAGGACTATACTCACCCATTCATGTTTGCCGAAATCCTCCAGCATCTTATCAATGCAAACCGAAGCACAGGGAGACCAAAACAAAGAACTATACTTGGTCATGAGAAGCCTTCCAGCATAAACATAACTGGCAGCACTATCAGTTATTATTTGAACAACATTTTCTACACCAACCTCCAGTACAACAGACTCGAGCAATTCAAATAAATAGGTAGTGTCATCTTCATGACCTGAGACATCAACTGACTTCAAAAATAAGGTCCCCTTAGGGCATGTAACTGAAAATACAAGAAGTGACTTTGTTCTGCCATCTGTCCAGCTATCACACAAGATTGTGCAACCAGTTTCTTTCCACTCATCTCTAAGTTTCTTATAGGAATCATGTATATCCCCTTTCACTTTTTCTAAGAGGGTGGACCTCAACTTATCATAAGTTGGGGCTTTATAACCTACACCGCACTCTGCTACAGCATCCACCATTTCTTGATAATACATGGACTTAGCAGCACCAAGAGGAATAGAATTATGGAAGAAAAAAACAGCAATCTTTCGATCAGCATCATCCTCCTTTTGCTTTTGAGCATCATCCGGTACCGGTTGGGTGCATGGTGAAGGATGTCGAAATACCAAAGATGGACAACTGCTGCCATCCTGTCCACTAGATACATGGTTAGGGTGAAAACCACCACTAACAGAGGAGCTATTCTGTTGACCATTGGGTATTGTCTTATCGATCTTTGCTTTTTTGGGACTTTTCTGTTTCTTGGATACGCTTAGTATACTTTGAATACAATCCCGTACCTCATCGGGGACTTCAGCACATGGAACAATATCTTTATTTTTTATTTGGGCTAAATGAAACTTCATCCTATAAACTCCTCCACTGAACTCCCGATGGCAATAATTACAGCGGACCTTCTGTCTTGTTGCATCCACAAGGGCACAGTGCTCCCAACAAGCATCTCTTCCACGAACCATTATCTTCTATGTAAATGCCAAATCCATTAGTAATTGAACTAGATGGAAGACACATAAATTACAACAGTTTAAAAGCTAAAAGTAATACTAGTCAATTTCCTAGTTACAGAAGCAAGTACAAGAGACATGACCCAAAACTGCAATAAGGAATTGGAATAAAGCAACCTCAATTGTGGACTTCATTAGAAATTTCCCACTCAGTATAACCATGACATGGTGAAAATTCCTTCCAAAATAATGAAATTGGTTGCTACAAATTCAAAGTGAAATCAAACCAAAACATTCTAAATATCATCAAAGTTACTGGAATGTGAATTGCAAATTCCAATTCCACTTAAAATTCTCTATCAGATCCACTTCCATCCTCTTCCAATAGAATTTTTATTCTCTCCTACTTGATTTAAATATAGATTTTGGAATGAATTCCAAAAACTAGTTCACTTGCTACAAACGGAGCCAAAATATTGAAGCAAGAGACAAAGGCCATTACCACCCACTTTTTTAAACTGGACATGACTTGTAAAAGGACGACAATAACTGAACATATTGAAGCAATTAGAAGACAGAGAAGGGATCCCATGATGACTTGAGAGCTGATTATTAAATTAAACAAAAACATCCGCAACTTAACCATGAGGTACAAAACAGAAAAGGAGGCTAAAGAAATCAGAAAATAAGAGTGCACAACAAGAGATATCTCAGGTACTTGCTACAATGGTTCACCATTTGATTTCACCGTTTCAAATATGTCATGTCTTCTTAACCACAAAAGCTCTTGCTATAATTATCATCACATCAATGCTCTTTTCTATGCAGCAGAAAAAATCTTTCCATGAATTGTCGCACTAACTAGTCCTGAAACTGAAGGTCAGACAATGAAGTCTAGCATTACCCAGAGTATTAACACCTCTGTCAGCAGTTAAGTTACCAGAGCTCATGAACTACACTTCATCCCTCTTCACCTACATGCCATAGACCAATTAACACGAACCATAACAACACAAAATATGGCCCTACAATTAAGCAGATTTTGGCCATAAATGTGAATCCTTCAACAATCAAGCAATACATTAGCAACTGGGTAAATATTACCCACCTCAACTCTATAATTTCCTTCTCTAAACTTAATGTTCAGATCTTCTAATACAAAGCATTTTCAGTAACAGTCTGCATGTTTAAAAATATAAAACCAATTCCCCAGCATAAAAGCACGAATATTTTCCACAAAAAAGAAAAAAGCACTAATGCTTTGGGATTTCTATAAACATACAAACAAATAGGCATCCATGTATGGACCAAATAAGGCCGTTTGGAAATTGGAGAAAGATGGTATCTTCTCTGTCAAGTCCTTTTATCATTATTTGGCCAAGATGAGAATGTTGTGTGTTTTCCGGCTATACAAATTTGGAAAGTGAATGCTCCTCCGAGAATTGCTTTTATTGTTTGGGAGGCAGGTTGGGAATGTATCCTCACTATTGATAAGCTGATAAGGAGATGTCACATTATGGTCAATGGTTGTTATCTTTTCAAGGCGGCAGTGGAATCTTGCAATCATCTTCTACTTTGGTGTCCGGTAACTTATAATTTATGGAATATGGTTTACAGTCTTATGGGCATCAATTGGGTGATCAGGGGTTCAGTAAAAAATGAACTTTGGGCTTGGGATGAGATTGGCAAAAAATCAAAATCTGTAAAACTCATTAATTTAACTATTTTTTGGGTAGTGTCAAAGGAGATAAATAATAGAACGTTCAATGGGCGTGTGGGAGATTTGGGAAGAATTAGATATCGATGGTTATATTCTTTTGGGGCTCTAATTTTGGGGCATGATATGTATCGGTGGGATGATTTTGAGAAAGTTTTGGATGTTTTAACTAGTATATAGATACTTCGTACAGGAGCGACACTCCCTTGGTGTCAATTACATAATACACATTCTTTTTTATTTAAAAAAAAATGTATAAAAATAAATAAAGAAAATAAGAGATAAGATACAAATACAATTAAAAGAAAAGGAAATGATCCCAAAGAAATTTTACCGTAGTTGAATTAAGTAAAAGAAAAAGAAAGTGCCTGAATCTTAAGAAAAAGCCTTCTTAAAAGAAATTGTAGCAGCATAAAAGAACCAAAGTCTTCCACCAAAAAGAAAAAAAAAAGCATAACTCTTTGGATTTATAGAAACACACACATAAACACATTCGTGTATGTACACAAATAGACAGAGAAAAGCAGAGATAAGAAACAAATACAATTGAAAGAAAAGTAAATGATCCAACACATTTTAATGTAATTAAGTAAAAGGAAAGTGAGTACCTTATGTTAAGAAAAAAAGACCTTCTTAAAAGAAATCTTTTTTTGGTGTCAGAAAAGGTAGGAGTGGTTGGAATCTTTAAAAAGTTTGGATCAGAAATTTCTCGAGGAAGTTAAAGGAACCAAGCAAACCAAAAGCCATGGCAATAAATTAGCCTCCTTTCCAAAGCCTCTACATAAGAGTAGGGTGAAAATCATCATCAAAGGGTGTCCACATGACCTTTGTGTGACTCCTTTCGAAAGAGAAAAAAGATTAAATATATAACATGAAAGCACCAAGGAAGTCCCACCCAAAAACAAATAGGCAATTTACTGCTCGGTAGGAATATCAATACAGTTTCCAAGGTCTGTATAACAATTATGAGAATTACCCTTGAACAAAAACACATGCTATGGAAACAAAGATTCCTAAGGAAAAAAATCTTATCCTTAAAACCTTTTTGTCCTTTCCAAATAACCCACAAAGTTGCCAAAGGGATAAGAGTGTCAGCTTCTTCCTGCTCTTATCAGCCTAGATACCCTGCCAAACTCAAATCTTGTCAACCACCAATCCCAATCACATAAATCAAACCAAGGAATTCAAGCACAAATGACCTTTGCATGGCACGTATCCTGCAATGGCGTATACTCTCTTTTATTTTTATAGCTTTTTTTTTCATTGCACTTCTTTTGCAGAAAATATTTTTGGTTAAAATATTTCTTTAGGATGATAATTACAAAAGAATAAGATAAGTTATTAATGGCATCATAATTTTTTTTTTTAAATAAAGTAATGGAAATCATAATAATTTGGGTATGTTTTCATTTCCTATAAAATCAACATATTACATTTTCATTTATTTTCTTAATCAATTACATTATTGTTTTATTTATAACTATTCCCATCTCTATTTATATTGCGTTAAAATCATTTTCATTGACATTCATTATGTAATAGACATTTATAATTATATTTATAATTAATACATACACAAGTACATTTATATAAAAATACACACATATACACATGTATTTATGTGTGTGTATGTGTGTGTGTGTGTAATCTAGAAAATGCTGACTCTTCAACTTTGTCACCACATGACATTAAGACTCTCCAAAAATAAGTTAAAAAATAAAGAATAACAACTGATTCTTTAAAGGTGGGATCAGTCAGTTAAACATACACCGGTATTATAAGGAAAACTGATTTGAAAAAGAATAGTATAAGATGGATGGGAAAGGTATTCATCCTATGGTACAGGCCTCTTAATGATGGCTAAGAGTTTTCTACGTGTTCAAATGAAGTTAGCTGAGCAAAAAACTTCAACACAAGATAACTTAAAAAAGAGACGAAAAAAACCTCAGTGTAAGATAACAGCAACTCTCCCAAAAGAAAAGAACCAAAGACATCATTAAACAGGAATCCAGAAGTCTTTTGCAGGTTTCACAAAGCATTATCTAATCATAGCCAAAGAAAGAAATCCAAACAGCAGCAACCAACCAAATATCACCAAGTTCAAAAATTTTAAGACACTTTACTCTAATATCCGCCTAACCACCATTTAGCTCAAAAGGTCAAAAACTACTCTTAACCCATGGCAACATCACAATCATTATGCAGTTAAACAAAAGGATGCATTCGTTTAAGTTCTCACCCACATGCAAAAGAGATTAATTTGAATAGAAACACCCAGTAGCCAGATCACCCCTTTTAATCAACATTTCACGAAAGATAAAAGAAAGGAGAGATGGAAAACTGAACTCATGTCACAAGTAAAACAAATAATGAAGAACAAGAAGATACTAAAGTGGACGTATTTTGATAATAAGGGATATTTATGTAATTGTAATGTCCATGTATTATTAAGGTATTTAGCTTATTTAGGATCCGGACTTATTAACTATAGGCTTATTATAAAATGATTTATTATTTCCTATTTAATTACAAAACTGTTTAGTTTTTTCTATTATAGAGTTATTCAATTAATTAGCTTAGTTTCCTATTTATTAGATTTTCTAGATTGACTTAGTTATTCAATAATTAGATTATTTTCTTATTTAGTTCATTTTCTCAGGCAGTGAAATAAACGGCCAGACAAGCTAGATACTCCCTCAGAATCTAATCAGCTAGTAAAATTGAAAAGGGCAGCGAAATAAATGGCCAAAGAAGCTAGATACTCCCTCAGAATCTAATCAGCGAAAAAGACACCACAATCACGATCCTTATTTCGTGAAGGATTTGATCAATAACTGGTGAGGGGAACATGCATATATTCAAACCCACGTGCTTCTCAAGGACAGGCAAGCAAAGTGAACGGACTAAAAACACTACATTTTATGGATTTTTCTGTTTAATACAGACTTCTTTTGCTCCAATATTTTCAATTTTTCTTTGATACATATTACATTAGTATGCAACAAAAGCCTTTGGCTAAACCATTAATATTGACTCCCAATTCAGCAAGGCCAGATATTCATGAACATGGAAATAAATCTTCAACAACAGGCAGGTGAGGAAAGAAGCTGTTATGTCAAACAGATCATTCACATGAAAAGTTCCTTGATTACTGTCAAAAATCGGAAAGAAGAAATACAACTTTAAACCAAAAACAAAGACCCTTTCTAAAGCATAAGTCGAGCAGAAGTGAATAAACTAAATTGAAAGTGGAAAGATCATTAACTTGAAACAGCAAACTGAGCACCCCTAGGGCATTCATAATCTATCTTAAAAGTGTAGAGAACATTTGGGGGTTTGTGATTGCTTATTTCATGCTTACAAGTAACATTAAGCACTCTACTCGCATCTCTCGTTTAATAACATAAAAAGCAAGGTGCTAACAATTTTCTTAAAAATGACATTAAGAAACTAAAAAATAAGCAACTCATTATGAAACTTTTTAGCTTGTATTTTTATCTAACAAATTTACTTAACTAACTTCTCGTTATCCATTTAGAATTAACAAATACACAATAATATTCTACGATATTCGTAATAAATATATGCAAACATATTATTGCTTACTTTTTGAATAAGATGTTATGAATAATTCAAAGCATCTACTACTTTAAGCACATCTTTAAACAATCCCAAACACTCTCTAAATCATCCATATTCATTATTGATCATGAGCGTATGCAACAACAAAGAGAAGATAAGTAAACAACAGAACCTATCTGAGATGGCATCCACACATGCAATGATCCAAAATGAAAAACCAGCATTAGGATTGAACTCAAAGACCCAAGGCCATAGATGAAGACATTGCAAATTTAGCTGTATCATTCACCAGATTCCCAAATAATGCATACCTACTCTTCATTTGTATTAGCAGTTACAAACTATAGTTCCTAACCTAATATTTTCACTAATCACAGACTTGAGTTATCAGGATCCTTACCTAAAAATTAAACTTGAGCTCCCTTTTGCTGTGAATAACTTTGAGAAATCCTCTTCTTCCTCCTTCCTGCCAGCTTTTGATTCTTTCCTGTTCCTTCTTCCCTATTGAAGGTCTCCCTTAATTCTCCGACCCTTGCTTTCTCCTCTTCGGGATTTTCAGCCTCTAGATTTTTCTCGATTTCCTGTCTCCCTCTGTGCGTCTCCCTTTATTTGCTCTATCTCGTTTTTTTCTAGAGTTCCAGGATGCTACTCCCCCGAGACTTTTCATTTATGTATGCAAAAAGGACTACCCCTCAAAAGCCCAAAAGATTTCTTCTTTATATCTCCACTCTCTGCTTCTCGAGTGCAATTGCCCAGTCCCTCCCGCCCGCTAGCGGAGCTCCGATGTTCCTCTCTCTCTCTCTCTCTCTCTCTCTCTCTCCTTTTCTTCCTGGTCACCCAATTGTTGCAACGGATACAGATTTTTTTCTTCAAGCTTTTATCTTCTGTGTTAATTTCCCCCCAACTCGCGTGCGCTTTCTCTTTCCACCACTTCAATCATATGGTCCAGATGTTACGACACCTCTCCGTCATCTTCATCACTCAGCTTCCAGAACTTCGAGAACGTGTGTGCATCCTCACGTGATTCTCTCTCTCTCTCTTTCTTCACGGTACTTCCTCCCTTCAATTTTGCATGAGGAAATAGGATCGACGAAGAAAATTATGGGCCACACCCGCCAGTGTGGATGTCAAGAAAAAACGAACCGGCAGTTCAAACCGGCCCGGTCCATTTATCCTGATGGGCTGTATCATGTAAAACTCAATTAATAAGTTCTGGTTTGTCCGGCTCAGACCGCAGCTTGAGTCCAAATACCTGCATAGTTCTACCTAATTTCCTTAAAAATACATGTGGTAATAAAATAATATAACATCGTTAATTAAATTACTTAAATTACCAAAATTTTAATATATAAATATGTAGTCCACAAATTAGTTTCAACCAGATCCATCTCTCTTAATTAAATTTACGTTCATCTTTTATTTTTGTATTTAAATTCAATGAAAACTTTTGAATTTTTAAAATTGTCATATTATGCTCTTATAATTATTATTTTAAGTTGAACAAAATTATTCTATGTATATTTTTCTAATCGTTATCTATATTTGAGTTATATATAATTCATTTAATTTAGTAGATATAGTGACCTTTCTATCGTTTTTTGGGAAAATAATTAAAACATGATAAATCAATTCTTAAATTAAAAAAGTTCTACAGAAATTCTAATTTTTTTTTTCTTTAAAGTTGGTCCAGTGATAAAACTTAAAAACAAGTTTCTATGTTTAAATTGTTGCCCATGACTCATTTTGCTTATTATAAAAATGTTGGTATAAAAAATATTTAATTAATGTTTGAAACTATTTTTATTATTAGAAATTATTTTTACTATCATATACAGCACTGTTATTTATTTATTTACCAATTTTAAAGTATATTTATACGTACATGTATGTA